TCTCGGCAAATACCATCATGACTAAATCCTCCAGGGGTCACAAAATGCTTGGCCTTGTTTAGAGAGCCAAATGAGGCCTGAGATTGGCTTAATGCTCATCGTTCGCGGTCTGGTAATCGAGTATCTTCCCTTGCCGGCCACTTTCCAAATATATGGCTGCAACCTATTCCCACTGTGGTTCAGCAGAGGTTATTGCATTATCGGAAAACCGACTCATTCCAGTTGTTTCTCTAGAATAGTGGGTTAAAAATTCAACCAACAGACTAGTTTAGGCTTCAATTTGGTTGACATCATTTATCATGTCTCTCACAATCCTCGTCATCTTTTTGTGTTTAAGTATTTTAAGGCAAACTGTTACTGCTCATTAGTTCGGAACTAATTATTATGTAAGAGTATTTGGAGTGTGAGCATCCTTACCACTTATTAGTGTGATTCTCGTAGCGTTAAGCCGTTCCTGCTCAGTCGTTCCGGTGGTCAGACAAAATGACACATACCCAACAGAAATTAAAAAGTGTAACTTTGACAAGGTAAATTTTAAAAATCCAGCTTTAATTCCAACGGCTTCAAATTAACTAATTAGATTTCCATTACACTGAAAATAAAATTCAACTTTGTTAGTTTGCATAGATGAATTTAAATGGAATTTATGAGCTTTTTGTAAACTGCCTAAAGCAAGAAAAGGAACGGTTTGTACTTCGTCTGAAAGTGAAAACGGACGCAAATTTGTGACTTCAAATCAAACATTCGCGCTGAGAATTTGCACAAGTTTAACACATTTAAAGTCAGCTAAAATTTGCTCCAAATCTTTCTCGACGTCCAATGTTCACTATGCCTTCACATTTGCCTGCAGTATGAACAGCCCTTTACTGTTAGTTGACTAGACATTCGCACGAGTCCAGCACAGAATATGTGCGAGTAGTTTTCGCGACATATGGGATTCTAAACACCACACTACACGGACACACCCACGGGCAACATTAAATTACCCAAGAGACGGTGTTCCATAGCCTGACGCTCCTCGTGTCCTTTTTGTGCAGCTGTTCGTCGCATGAATGTATCCCGCCCACTCAATATGGCTCGAATCTGGCTAGAGCCATAGGTATGTCTAACTTGTATAATTATATAATTAATTAAGAGGAATTTTGGGCTGCATTTAAATAAAAATTTTTATCAAAACTAGGTATTGGGCAGCCTGCATCGGACAGGCACCAATTCCCGTCCGTATGTTTCAGGCGGCAGTTTACTCAGGATGTTTCTAGTCTTTCAAGACTAAAGACTTAGTCTGACAGCTGCTTTGTCGATTTTCCCTTGAGGTTTTCGTTGGGGACATCGTGTATAATCCAGCAAAACGTGCTGACACCGATTAAATAACTTCATATTACTTTCAAGGTTAATCTCGATGACTCTTATCTGGTTAGTCGATGTAATCGTGTCCGGAATGCTTGTGTATTTCTTTGATTAAGGCGCACAGTGGCTCATCCAGAATTTGTCAGGGGGGATCTGAGGCCGGAATTTACCCCCAAACTTAGCACCATAATGTTAACGTCCCCAGCTGCGCCACAGGAGGCTGAGATTTACAGTCACTTCAGAGTTAGTATATTGGTGTAACGTTTACCAGAGAAGCCAAAACAATACAATAAAAAAGGGGGGGCTTGAGCCCCCGTGGGTACGCCGTTCTAGAAAATTTAAAATAGATAGACCTTCAATTTGGGTCTCACTTTACAAGCATCAGTTATTAAACTTGCAGTGAAAGAACGGCACACATTGATCGTTTTTATTCGATTACCCCAGCAGTGCTTAGTAATTTAGATATGCATCCGTCGTAAAAGGTTGCGGCCGAACAAAAGCACCTGTCTTTTGAATCGAGGCATTTCCAGGTGACTGTACGCGAATAAAGCTTTCCATTGCGCTGAGCGTCACGCCGCTGGACTACAAAGCCGGAGCATTATTATCAGTTCAGTTCAGTTCATAATCTTTTATTTTACCAACGCAGTGATGGACAGATAGAATAATTGATCATATTAAATTGTGTAGGGAGGGAGGTCTTTAGGGAGCAAGCGCTAATCGGATGGAAAGCCCACTGTGTGAAGTAACGATTTTAAAACAACTAACCACAGAGGTGATTATTGATTTGATTCCATATTTGCAATGATTTTTTTGGGGGTTTATTTTTTAACCAGATATTTTGCCGAAGGCTCATTGGCAGCATTATTTTCCCTGGGTTCTTGTAATGTCGACCAGAATTGCTTTCTCCTTCCGTTGAAAACGAGGAATTCCGTTGAGAGACAGTGCCAGAAGATAAGATTGCTCCCGATTAATAGTAGCGAAATACGTGGGCAGTGGTATCGGTTGTTCCTGTTCGCATTGGTGGCTGCAAAAGGACATAGTTCCTGGGAAGAAGGCAATCCCCACCCGCCCCACCTCTGGACGACAGGGGGAGGGGACATCCTCTCGAGTTTGCGAATAAAAGAGCCAAGAGGAACTGTTTTAGAAAGAGGGCTTCTAGAGTAAAATTCTCAGGAAAATTGCTAAAATGAAGCTGTATATACTTTCACGGCTGAATATGTCACAAGAAACAGCCTTCTGAAGTGTTTAATAAAAAACCTCAGCCCCTCCCCAGTTTTGAATGTACTCCGTTATTTTACAACATTGCATAATTCTATATACTCAACAGTTATTTTGCTTCAGGTTCCAGACGTTTTAAACCCTATTTAGAAATGTTTATCAGAGCTTATCAGAGAGATAAATTTATATCTATTTCTACTTGCCTCGCCTCCGATTCAAGATAGCTGCGTCACAATTTATGGTAGCGTTTAACGTTTAATATGACATTCTTGGGACTGAACACTGACTATTATCTTCAAGTAAGTTTGGATTCTCATTTCTGATTGGTCGAACCATGGCAAACAACGGACAGATAACTGCAAAATTTGCTTTAATTTCACAGGTGCACCCGCTGACTCGTCTATGACGGAAAGCCTCGTCATGAATTCATGGAAAGATTTGAAAGTTTTCACCGAAGGGAGAATAGCAATGAGATCTAGTGACCTTGAGGTAGCAACGCGTATAGAGGGATATCTTTTTGTGGGTTTAGGTTCTGAAATAACAAGAATACGCGCTTTTATGGAAAGTATAGGTTAAATTTTCACCATTGGGTATGTCATTTGAAATTAGTCAAACTAAAAAACTTGTTACTCAATTAAAGGTTGTTTTGCGCCATTCAATATTCACTAGTACAATAAAAATTAATATAATAACACTTATGCCGATAACAGACTTGGACTTAATCAGTCTTACAGCGGCCTAATAATTATTTTGTATTCCAAGGGATTATTTCAAACTAATTCCGCTCAAAGGGAGTCCAATTTACCGCCTTTTGCCTTGACGTAGATTAAAAAAACAATGGCAGTGACATTTGAGCCCCGACTTCCACCAGAGAGGGTCCAATTTTCTTAGCAGCGCAGGCTCCTTTGGTATAGGAACCGCACTTCGCTGATTTACAAACGATTATGAAATGCATGCGTTACGGTCGCATCGATACGAACAAAATGAGCATTCCCGACCAACGTGGCTCTTTTCAACAGATGAGGGGGGTGATTCTGCTCCGTGGATACGGCTCAGACTTGATTCTGCGGTGGAGGGTTACTCTCTTAAAGTCAGGTTTTTAGGGTAAGGTTGGCTGTGCCCGAGTTCCCCACGATCCCGCACGAAACACATTTAAAGGAAATATTTTCAATAAATATTGGATGTCGATGGGCTATCGACTCCCCCTCCCCCTTCTCTCCCCCTCTCTCTCCTTCTCCCTCTCTCTATTCCTCTCCCTGTCTCTCGCCAATAAACACTGTTTCCGCTGATTTCCCTGGACACCCGATAGCCTGTAATCCACCGAGGCTAATGTGTAGAAATCGATAACAATGGTGCGATTCGAGGGACTCTCGATGTGATCGAACAGAATAGTCCCCCTTTGCTTGCCAATTACCCAAAGTGCAGGGGAGACTTTTGATTTCCCACGGCTTCTACAGGTGGTAAAAGGAACTCAACAAATGCACAGCAATGGAGAAAAAAACCCTGAGTGGCATCTTTAAGGAGATATTCAGAAACTAGATGAATTTCGACCCGATGAGACCTTTTCGTTTGGGGTTGCAATGGAACTTGTGCGTGAAAATGGAACTGTTTTTTCTGAAAGAAGCAATGTAAGAGGATAAAGTGAAAGTAAATGGAAGCTTTGGTCCCTATCAGGGTTAGACACTGTACGTGCTCTGTCTCAGTGACTGGAAATTAAGGAAGTGGCTTCAGGCAGGAGCAACTTAGAGGCTAGCTCCTTCTTCAGGCGAGCGTGGTAGTGAAGCAGATCTGACCTTAGGGAACTTTTGCAACGAAATATGTTTGATTTGAAATATCTCCGACAGGTCAAAAATTTTTATCTGACGTCGGTCGGGTTTGTACACCCTTTTTGTGCTACGTATGAACCGGAAAAACCCAGGCTTCACTCTCTCACATTTGGTAAATCAGTCTTCTAGAAAGACCATAAATTGTCATTTATGACGAAACACGGAAGGGAGTCAACATTTTACCCGCAGAAAAAGTATGTCAGAACCAGCGCTTCGGGTTTTGTTTGGAGAAATCCAGTTTACCGCTAGTTTTGATTCCTAATTTTAACCAAAATGTTTAGTTCAAGTACTCTCGATCTGAAACATTGAAGGTGTTTTACTTTGAACTTATCTAGCGGGGGGAATTTCCCCCGGAGACATATTTGTAATTTGTTTTGGTTTTAATTATAATTGAAGAATGGAAAGCAGAAGCATATTAGAAACGGTACTACCACCTTTACGGAGGAAGGGGATTATTCTTTAAAGTTTGGAAAGTCAATTTCAGAAAGAAACATCAATGTCCCCCGGATCCTTACCCTGGATGCGCCATTTTCAGATATATAGCAATGGGAAAGGGTTGACAGAAACAGCCCCGGCATTTTTATCTTGCTCTCTGCTTTTGGATTATAGTGGACTCCCCACAGCCGCCTATGTGCCGTGATCTCTCGGGCAATTCCCCGGTCTACAACTGCATCAACACAACCGACATCTGTCTGCCCCACAGGTACTTCTGTGACGACTACACTGACTGCGGCATGGCAGAGGACGAACTTTATTGTGGTAAGGCCCCACGATTTCAAGCAGTCTTCAAACAAACACCGCCCGTGGCTAGGATCAGCGACCAGAATTAACATGCGCATAACTTCAGGGCGGAGAGCCGATTTTATATAGTTCGCTAAGGCATTGGAAAGAGACTACCCAGTTCCCAAGGGAAAACGTTTGTCAACTTCAAAGAGTGAGGGGAACTGAAATTGACTATGTACCCAAAACAAACTATGTTATAATTGTTTTACCATACCTCGCACGTATTCAGTTTAAATTACAACTTCAGTTATCGTTTAAATCAACATAATTATGCGTGTTTTGCCATCTTGGCATGTGTACCTAGGGAAATGCTTGCACATTTATTCCGGCGAAAATTCTAAGATAGCATCATAAAGTCACATGTAGTTCACTGTTCCTAGAAGCAATATTTTTCAATACACAACAGTCTCCAGATTCACCATGTACTTTCCTATGGAGAGGAGACTTGTCTTTTTCACGCCTCATAGAAGCCTCCCCCTATTGAAATGCTAGACTTAACTTTCCTTTGAAAGAAAAATCCTTCATAGCCAGGATTGTAGCCTCTATTCGTGTCTGGTTATTTGAAACCCTTGAAGGGACAGTATGCTTTTTCGTTCGCACGAATTCCTATTTCATTCCCACAATTATAATCCGTTTACACTTATTGCTGATTCGTTCACTCAAATAAATTGCCCGTGAACATGAATTTTGGAGCAAATTTCTCTGTGTAAATTACGTATTGTCTCTGTGTGAATTATATTTTGTGCGAACAAATGGGTGATTCCTGGGGAAGAAATGTCAATTCGTGCGAACAAAGAATGACATGAGAAAAGTCCATGTTGTCTTTTCCTGGGCTTCATTACCTCACAGCATGCTGTGAAAAAAATCCTGTCCTGGGAACAGTTTTCTACACTTGCGTAAACATGCATTTAATATTTTGAATATGCATGGATCCTGGCGCACAGTAAAAAAATGACGACAGATACATGATGTTGCATAGACCAGTAAGAATTAGGCCCTCTACGGCTGAATATGTGTCAGGTATGTTAAGACCAAGCACCAAGGTTCCTGGTGGACAGGTGATGCACAAGTTACATTCCTCTTCTGTGGCATGCAAGGTTGACATTTCATCCGCGTATTACAGAGATGTCTATTCCTAATAGAGATATCTCTATTACTGTTAGAGATATCTCTATTCTGCGGTCAAATGTTAACTTGGTACGCCGTAATCTTCATCCAATTGGATGCTTTGATTTGCCAAAATGCAAGCGCGTGTCAAGATTATACATTCGCCTGCCAATTGGTGTTTCCTCAGAATATTTTATCGACTTAAGTGAGGACTGCAACTTAATGTGTACAATTTGAAGAAAGTAATATCTAAGAGACTAATATGCTGAAATTGTTGCCATCCATGAAACGCTCTATACTGAAATGCACAATATGCTTTATATTCCATAATTTGGAATTTTACTTAAAACCCGTAATTCCAATTTGTCATTAATTATTTACTTGACCTTTAAGAATAATGATTTGCTTTTGCTTTCATTTTGGTTTGTTATTGCAGTGATGAAAACAGCAAAATGTGCTGTTCCTCCCCGGGCTTCTTTACCTCACAGCATGTTGTCCGTAAAAAAACAATCCTGTCCTAATAATGTGCGATTCTCCTCCTGAAATTTTAACGAGTACCGTATTTCATTTTGAAAGAGTGGTTGTTTTCCACGATTGTTGCTGATCACCTTTGGGCGAGAGCGCTGTTTCTTAAATTATCTTTAAGAAGTTTGAGTTCTTGAAAACATTTAAGAAGTTAAGGTCAATCGTTACCTTGCTTTTGTGCTATTATAATGCATTTGAAAATCTCACTCGATCAGGTCAACTGTCCGAACCATTTCTCGAAATGTTACTTTCCTTGAGTAAGTTATGTCTAGAACGTAAACCATCACATTTCTCGCATAGAAGCCTTTATGCATAGATGCATCAGGTGGTGTTTACTGTTTCATTTATTTAAGCATCTTGTCACCGTACAAACTATTTCATTGTTTTTAGTTTGAATGGCAGACATTGATTTTCATATTTTGGGAAATCTTAGCTTTATTGAAAATTTTCTCTGTTGGATGACAGAGGTGCGATTAAAACAAGTTTCCATATAATCTGTGATATATTGTTTACTATTTCGCTTATTTTTTTCTCAGATCAGCAGTACATTCCCGGATGTAGTTTCGGCGTTCTTCAAGTCACCTGTACCAACGTCACATTAAGCACATCTTTTGAGAAGAGCGTACCGAAGAACATACGATTCGTGTGAGTGTAGCTGATAAATATCTGTGTTTTTTACTCACCAGATGAGATTGGTCGATTTTGAATAATTTACAATTCACGTGCTGAACCCATTACTAAGTGTATTTTCAATACTGATTGACTGAATCTGTGACAATATGACCTACCAATTAATAGCCACAGTTTACCAAAGGGGACATCGAGCACTTTGAGTTCACATTCTGGATCCAATTAATCCAGGAGTTTTGGAAAAACGACATCGTTACTGGTATAATGCTCTGTATCAGTCTTTGAAATGTTGTAATATCGGAAATTCACATGACGTCATACAGTCGGCGGTTTCCCTTATGGCGCCATATTGGCCATCAAGCGCATTCATGGTAACGCACGCAAATAAACGTACGAGCACGGTTTGTTTGCTGTTCCTGTAAAATGGTGAAGGTTTGCTGTGCTGTAAGGTGCCATAATCGTGAAGATACTTCAAAAGATCTGTATTCCTGCCGATCCGCAACGAAGAACAAAATGGATCACTGCAATTCGACGCAAAAACAGGATTCTAAACTCGCACACACCACTGTGCGGGTAGGCCGAGTAGTATTAACGTTGGTATAACAGCTCCCTAAGGTGACGCACTTCGGATTTTCCATTGACTTTCGTCTCACATCTCACCTTTGAAAAATATCGTTCCCTGTGAACACAATCCAAGTTGTCAGCTGTGTCGGAAAATATGATTTCTTTCATGGGATTCGTTATTTTTTTGTCTCCCGAACATCGATCCAAGTTGCGTGTTACTATGCAGTGCTTGCACGCCTCACGAGTTGGCTTGACGGTCAATTTGGCCGGCGAGTCGAAAGTCACATGACAACGTGACGTCGGTGAATAACCTATAGATACTTTTAAACGGTCACTGCTAATTTTACAATTGAAGAGCCGTTTGAATTTAAGAACGATTCAGCATGCTGAGTAGTGTTAGGCCAAATGGAAATGTTTTCAGTGACAATGGAAAAAAATCTTTACAGTAAGCTCTTGCTTTTCATTTGCAACCTGCTAGCTGTAATAACATTGCTGAGGTTTAGGCAAGCAACCGAGATTCGGGAGAGATAATTCCCTGCAGCCGTGCAGGTGTGCCCAGGCGTGGCGGGTTGTGCTGCATATTTTGCCTATTCAATGTGGAAGAGGACGTTTCCCTTAGCCGGTGCACCGAGAGGATATACATTGCAAAACCGGGGTGTTACATCGGTGTTGTCAGGGTACCATGCCAACACTTTTCACTGGCGTTAAAATTTTTGGTGTTGGGTGCATTGTAACACTTGTAGGTGTGTAAGGTAACACCAGCGGTGTTAAATAACACCCTATGTGTGGTCATCTGATAACAGGAAAAATTGTTGTTTTTAACGCCTCAGATTTTGCAGTGTAACTTGAAAATACATTACAGCTGCGTCTATAAAGTTTCATACCGGTGGAAACATTGATAAGCTCCCTTGATCTACGTGGGACGGTCGTACCTCCGAAGATGAATTCAACGGACGAAAACACAAAGCCGATTGCACCAAGTTGTGCATAAAGCATGGGCCCTTAAGACATGGCCTGATTTCCTATAGCAAGGGAGTGTTTTTAGTAGGAACTTCACTTTCCTGGTTCATGAACGACTATGAGATGCATGGGTTGCGTGCGCGTCGTTAACAACAAAACGAATTTTCCTGACCAGCATGGCTCTTTTCGATAGATGAGGGGATGTTCAAGTCCTGCTCAAGGTGGATATACCTCGCTGTGCAACTTAATTATGAATCATGGTTGAATTTATCAACCATGGCTAAACTGCACTTGAAACATTATCCAGTCAAACACTTTAAGCGAGCAATTGTACAACTTGTCACTGCCTTTATTATAGGGCTGCTAAAAGGTTATAAGAGTGACAAACTAAAATTGACCCAAGTCCCCCAACCCCTTTTCTTTCCAACTGGCGCAATGACAAACGTCTGCTGAGGCTTCAAACATGTAGCTCAATAAGAGATATAAACCAGAAATGCAGTTAGATACAGCAGGCTTTGTCAGTGATAAATCTAGCTCGTTTAAAAATTAGTTGTGTGATAGGCTTAAATAGTATAAGGGAGAGACGACTCGAATCCTTCGGAAGAAAGTCCGAGACCGGAATCGGCCAAGTGCTTGCCGCCCGAGGAAAGCTACTTCGTCGGCGAATTTCAAATAAGCATCAACACCACAAACAATGACCTCTATGTGTCACAGATTGAAAACAGAATATCCCAATGTTAGCACGTAAGGCTTCGACTATGATGCTGTCATTTCAATTTTACTTGCTTGCATTATATCGTGTAATCCAGACCGCTTTTATCACAAGCGCTGTCTTGATTAAGCTTTACATGACATACAGCAATACATAAATTAGGGAGCTACGCCTGAGGTATCGGTCGATATTGATTCTAAGGGGTTTGTGTAAAGAAAAAGTTAAATAAGTTGTCTGGCAAGCCCTAATGTAGGGCAAAACAAAGTCCTGTAATTACAAGTGTTTTATGTATCCACTAAACAGGCGACCGGAAAGCGATGCGGACTTTTTACACGGAAGACAGAACCCATGCACTTCACATTTTCTTTTTCTTGTTCAGTTTAATGCATGGCGAATGCATGCTTGTGTTTAGAGGATATTCACAGTGCTCTCGCGCTCGTCTTTAAAACCCAGGTTTTATGTGTAAGCACGAAATGAGATAACAAATCCCCGGAGAGGAGCTAGTCATGGTTAGCTCCATTGGCCGGGTCAACTTACTCCCCACGAAACGAACGCCCCAATTACACACGAACGTGGCCTTTTTTTACCCGTGTGCCCCAGCTGTAAACCCACCTTATGCAGACGGCTCACAGCAAATTGGTGTAGCATTTAGATCCTATTGGGAAGGCTTCCTCTGTATAACTGTGCAAATGTTCCCCATTTTGACACGTTCTAGACTTCCAGTCTCTACCAGTCTAAACCACCCGATGTTGGGTATTGTTAGCCGCAAGCTTTTGGAGTTTTCCTTCAAAGATATCTAGAAATCTTTTCATGAATAATCCATTCCCAAAATGTTTGATTCTTCTATTGTTAATCCGAAGGCCTACCCACCAATCGGATTAATCAGTAAAGGGCAATTCTTGAATTCCGTTGCAAACCGCACCTAGTGTGGACGTTTCCCATTTTAATGTACTAACGGTGGAGATACTTCGTTTTCTTGAACTGTAAACATTTATTCTCAGCTAGATTTGTGTTGACAGTTTCCTTGACCTCTCGTCTTCTTCCTCTTTCTCTTCGTCCACGTGTTTTTCCGTCTGATTTTGTTGAGCCAACACTGAAAAACTTCATCAATAAAATGAAACAAAGTCTTAATTTTAAGTTTACACACTCACTCAAACTTTGTGAAAATGTTGCCCAAGCAAGACGGTAGACAACAGAAAATAAGGTTAAAAAACAAAACCAAACACATACATACACAAAGACGGGTTAATATCGATTTCAAGCGAGTTATATAATAACAAAATAATCAGTTAACTCCGGAAAGGATATTCCTGATTTTTTTGTTTTTGCATGTTTTTGAGAGGGAGGCCTAAGGCTTAGCCGCCATTCCATAAGAAAAAGGTTTTCTTCATTAATCAATTTTGACTAAATACACAGCATACAGCGTCACTCCTGAAACGCAGCGCGCCGCCATTGTTCAGCTGCGCATTTTGTGCACAAACAATGCACAATGCCCTATCCAGTCGTTACAATGGTATAAATGCATACACCTGCCATTCAAATGCACTTACCCCTGCGCAGGCGGGCAGGTGTATGCGCTTTTGGCGGAGGAGGCGCTGAACATGTTCATCAACCAACGGTTGGAATGCGTGGTTTTGGCTTGTGCTCAATGTGCGCATGAGCTCAGTTGAAAAATTACCCACCTCTTTCCCTTACCAGTGAGGATACACCTCAACAACGCAGGCGCAGATCCAGGGTGGGGGGGGAAGTGTGGGGGGTTGGACCCTTCCTGCTCTGAGACAAAAAGGAAAAAAACGCGAGGGGGAATGGGGAAAGAATTTAAAACCATAACCAAAGTAAGTGAACTAATACCATTGTAAATAGTGTTTGTCATCTATAATGTTTTATCATTACTTCTGCTTGCCCACAATAGTGAGACATTAAAAAAATTCCGGCCTGACCCCCCTCCAGAAAAATTTCTGAACCCGCCTCTTTAAAGTGACCATGAAATAGAAATATGTTACAAAACCGCCTGAAATTGCACCTTGGGTTTTCAATTAAACTTATTTTAAGTTTTTGTTGTGCAATTTCATCCCATACTTTGGATATTTTTATGTTAATAACATTTGTATATGTATGAGCAAAACCATGATGTCATCCAAGGCACTTAATCTCAATATTGCACCAATTTGTGCACAGAAAATTTCTAGACTTTATAAACGCTGCTATCGTAGATTTAATTTCCTTTGGCAAGTTATTATTGAGTGAGTATATGGCAATAAGCCAGCAAGCAACCTTGTCGCAGAAATGTTTTCAGATAGCAAATTTGGAGTTCACAATTTGAACATAAAAACATGCAAACTGAACCATTCTTCCTGGATTTACATCAAAGCAAAAGCGGCCTCACTTGTCCAGAAATATTTGGGCAATTTTGAATGTTTAAAAAGTGCACTTCTCAGTTCACGTAAAGATGTAAAACAATCTTCAGACATTGAAGAAGGGCCCAGAGATACGATAAAGTGCTTCTTGGAAAATTTCCTGGATCCTTTAAAGGTATAGCGTACTGTACACACCTACACACCAATTGTGTATTGTAATTTAAACAAAGCCCTTGTAAATGTACCTTTGTGTCCTCAAATGCCTTATTCTTAAAAGAGTGTTTTGATACTTTTTTGGTTCTACGCAAACAACTAACTAGAAAACCTCCAAACCGATCAGTTCCCTCAATGGCCTCAAAGCATCTGCGCTCGATTGCCATTTGAATAATGTTAAGGGCCTGTTTGATTCGCACGGGGGCTGG